CGCCGGCCGCCCTTTACCCCCAAGAATATTCCTGGTACCCATTTCTGATAGAGGTTGAATCGACCCCAGGGCCACAGTGCGGCTGGAAGGATTACGTAAACTGAAAAAATTCACCTCATCGGGATTCGATCCCGCGACCAACCGGCTTGTAGCATAGTGTCTCAACCAACTACGCCACTGCGTGCCCCTGGATTATTTGTATCTTTATTTCATTTATTTTAATCTTGTACGTCGGTAGCTTCCTTTTGCACGTGAGATTCGGCATTGCTCCTACCTACTGGTTGCCGAAAAGTGATACCGTATTTACGCGTGCGTGTATAGGCCGCAGCACAATTTTCAGACAGAAATTATAGGAAAAATAATTTTCTTGGAATATTATTTCAGGAGTAGAACACTCTGTATTACTAATTATGACTATAATTTTTTTTTAATGAAGTGCGATTTCGAATAATTCGAATATAAGCCGCACCCCAGTTTTCCTCTTGAATTTTTGGCAAAAAATGTGCGGCCTATACATGCGTAAATACGGTATTTAGCATAAAGACATCTTCCGAACTGCTACTGAATTTCAACGGCTTTAAGTTCGGTAAAAGGATTGATTTTGGGGGGGGGGGTCTCAGATTTTTACACTCATACCAAGGGAGCCCCGGAGTAATACGATTTGTGAACCACTGCCTGAAACAATGAGATGAAGGGCCATGGTGAGAAGACAGCCAGGGAAGGAATCAGTACCACACAGATAGGAATGGACCTAGACAAACAAACAAACGAAAAGGTTTGGTGTAACGAACTGGAAGGTGCTGTCCCTACTGACGATAAAAGGGCTAAGCAAAATCGCGATTATCCTTAGAATATACAGCACAAAAATCACAGCGAGGTGACGTCATTCTAGTCAACTATTTTGCTGTCCCATAAAAATAGTTGCACTGTTACAATTAAGAAATTATTTATAATCGGTAACAATAATCCCCGCCTTCAAGACATAAACACAGGACTACAGCTACCTCCACGTCGCCAGGTTCCTCTGGAAGTTGTTCCTCAGCTGGTCATTAGTTTCTCTGCTATAATATGTTTAATTTTCGTATTAACATAACTCTTCTCTTGGACCTTGTCTTCGGCCTACACTCTCACGCCATATTTATCTAAGATCCATTTTAATATTATTCTCCCATTTACGGTCAGATACCTCAAGCAGTCTCTACCTTTGCGCCTCCAGTTGTCATTTAAACTGCATATTTGGGTATAACATTTAATTATACTGTTCATCGCTGTTCCGTTTGTATAGAGGTTCCACCAGATGGCAGGTCCGCTGCACACGGGAAGGATGGATTTGAGACTGTAAATAGAAAATAACAGGCTAGTGCACGCTTAGGGTGACGTCACTGTGCTCTATACATTTTGGTAAAGCGCTCTAAACCAGAGTTTCTCAAAGGCCGGGCCCTGGCATCAATTATACCAGGCCCTCGTTTTACAGAACAAATAATTTACCGCGCGCGGTCTCACTGCTCTAGAGCGAATGAATAAGAACTGCGAGAGCGACAGGCAGCAGAAGATACGCCTAACTTTCGATTGGTTTTGTCATCACAGTATTGAAGGGTTTATGCAAATATTAAGTACGTAAGTACTGGAGCCACGCTGTAGCGTCGTTGGCCGAGGCACTACGCTACAAGCCGGGAGGTCGCTGGTTCGAGTCCCGATGCGGTGGATTTTCTCAATTTATTTAATCCTTCCAGCCGCACTATGGCCCTGGGGTCGACTTAGCCTCTAACAGAAGTGAGTACCAGGAATTAATTATATAATTCTCCTGGGGAGTAAAGCGCGGCCGCGCGTAAGGCTGACAACCTCACAGCCATCTGTGAGCCGATTGTCTAGAGAAAATGTGGAAGCCTCGACGTCTCAAAACCTTATGGGCCTTCATGGACTGTCACACGATACATTTACCTTTATCTTTACGTAGGTTACTTAGTTGGATAAGGTAAGGTTAGGGGAGTGATTAACAGTAGAATTGGATGTTGCGTGTTTCAACAGCTGTTATGTATTGTAATATTATTTTCATTGTTATTATAGTTATTAATATAAGCGGCTTGCTGTTGCCAAACACTAAAGAAGGAAGTGAACTGAACTCTTATTGGTTTATTTAACGACGCTTGAAATCATTCAGTTTATATCGTCTAATGACAAACTAATTACCGAAGAATGAACAAACGGTATATTGAAAGACGCGGTTATGACCCATTTTGAGATGAGGTACGGACATCCTCCAGGAACCGGAGGACCTGGGGCAGCCAGGAAAGTCCTCAGTTAGCGTAGCCAGAAACTGAGGCAAGGTTTTAAGCCAAGACCTCGGAAACAACAAGCAGGAATGCGACCCATCCAGCAGCCAGCTTTGTTGATGGCATCTTACGCATTCACCTACTAGAGGCCCATCTGGCTCTGTTAATAAAACTTAGCAACTTTTGTTAAATTCGGCATAAGAGATCCTTGCATAATTTCTGCACCAACTTAGGGTTTTGGCAATACTGACCGATCACAGAGTCTAGGTGAAAAGAGGCACAACTATCCCTGTAACAGGCCGTGAAGGCCCATACGGTTGTGAGACGTCGAGGTTCCCACATTATCCAGGCAATCGGCTCACAAATGGCCGTAAGTTTGTCAGCCTTACGCGCCGGCTGCCCTTTACCTCCCAGGAAGATTCCTGGTACTCATTTCTGTTAGAGGCTGAGTCGCCTACAGGACCTTTGTGCGGTTGGATGAATTAGGTCAATAGAAAAAAAAATCATTACCTCATCGAGATACGAACCGGAGACCTTCCGGCTAGTAGCTTTTTTTTTTAAATTCACTTAGTGGGGGGTGGAGTCCAACTGGGTCCACTCTGCAGGGAGGTCACTGATTGGCCTATTGTAGCCTGCCCGGGTGATTATGATGATGGAGAATTTGGTGGAATGAAGATTGGCAGGGGAAGTACTCGGAGAAAACCTGCCCCAGCGCCACTTTGTTCACCACAAATCCCACTTGACCAGACCCGGGATCGAACCCGGGCCGCCGCGGTGGGAAACCAGCGACTAACGGCTTCAGCTTATGGGGAGGCCTTCGGCTTGTAGCTTAGCGCCTGAACCAACTACGCTACCGCATGCCCCCTAAACCCTTACTCAAATTTGACGAAATTAGGCATGTAACGTCTTTGTATTACATTATTCTACCGTACAGATTATTAACCGTGTTTGGCGGTCACAAATGAACTTCCCAAGTATGGCAGAAACATACTGACACTCTGTTCTGCTGAAATGCCGTTCACAAACCGGCCGCAAGCAAGCTTAATGAGCTGAAAGGAATTCAGTTGGGAACTGTACTAAGTGCATTCCAACCAATCTTGTTGACGTTACGTTACTTTACTAATATCCATCGTTTGAATAGTACATGTTGGTATCTCAAATTACATGGAGTATTTAGAATTTCAAATTCTAGCCTCTGTGGTCTAGTGATTACAGTTCCTGGTCGCAGATCCAGAAGTTCCGGGTTCGATTCCCGTCGCTGCCAGATTTTCTGAGAAGTAGTTGGTCTGGAACGGGGTCCACTCATTCTCGTGAGGATAACTGAGGAGCTATTTCAAGGAAATAGCGGTTCCGGTCTAGAAAACTGAAATTAACGGCCGTGAGGATCCGTTGCGCTGACCACGCGAGACCCTCTATCCGCAGAAGTTGGCACTAACTTCGCCGACAAGCGACGGTCGCTCGGTCGGTATAGTTCGTTTGCGGACTACAGGCCATGGAGTTTGTTTTTTGTAGCGAAATTCAGAATCTAGCGACAGCTTTGAGTAAAATTCTCACATGTCAGATTACATGAGAAACCGTTCGTGACTCTCCAGGAGTTCATGCGGACAGACAATATGGTGGAATGAACGGGTGCACGTTGAAGCGAACCACACCAATCAGTTTCGTCACAAATGACACTTCCTAAGTATCTGAATCAGATGTTCACTATATCCAAAAATGTTAGATCGCACACTTCTTAAAGTATGTTGGTTAATACATCAACGACCTGCTTTAACATTAAAATTGCTGTACTTTTCCTATAGAAGGTATTACTTATGTGTTTGACATTATTCTCAGAATAAACAGCGATTGTTTTCCTGAACTGCATTAGGAAGCTGGCCTTTGTAGTGGAGAAACTTCGTGTTTCTTGTGCGATAAAACTGAAACAGTCGGATCAGATTACAGCCCTGATTCCCTTCGGAGCTCGAAAGCAAACCCAGGTCTACAGGTCAGAAGGTCAGCAACGGACTACTGCTCCGCTTTGCTCTCGCGTCTCGAAGGGGAACTAGGCGTGGTGTTCCAAGTCATGAACAAAATTTTGCGCAGAAATCAGATAAAGATAGATTTGAATTTCAACATATTTATATGGTAAGATAAAAGGTGAGTTGTCCATGTACTTAATTAATTAAGCACTACGCCATGAAGGCGTATGGGGGAGTGGATGTATAGACTCACACTTTCTTGACCTCGGGACTAGCTGGAAGTGAGCAGTCAACTTCACGCACTGCCGCTTTTACCCCTTCCCCCCTTACCCACTGGATAAGAGGCTGGGTAAATCCCATCGCCAGTCTGAACGACGTGGAGAATGGAAAATTCATCCTACCGGGACTCGAACTCCGACCCCTCGGCCCATTCATGTGGTACGAAGAAAAGTTAAATTCGCTCATCAATGATGAGCACGGATTTCGTATATGAAATCACTGAAATAATGCAAAGGCATGATTTTCTTACTGCGTAATTATTTCATGAAGCTTTCGCAAAAACATTTAAGTAGAGCGACCGCCGCTTGTCGGCGAAGTTAGTGCCAAATTTAGCGGATAGAGGGTGTCATGTGGTCGGCGCAACGAATCCCCACGGCAGTTAATATCGGTTTTCTAGACCGAAGCCGCTATTTCCTTCAAACAGCTCCTCAATTATCATGACGAGGCTGAGTGGACCCCGTTCCAGACCCACTACTTCTCAGGAAATCTGGTAGCGCCGGGAATCGAACCCGGACCTCTGGATCTGTAGCCAGGAACTCTGGCCACTAGACCACAGGGGCGGTCTATCCGACAGGCCTAAGGAGTTTCAAATTGCCTCGTAATCATCCCTACAAGTCTGAATGACAGTAATATAAATGGCGCCTTGCATCAACAGTCAGGAAGTGGCTGACGTGATCACGTTTGCAATTCGTAGCGAGGTATACGGGTTTCGAACAGAATAACAAAGGCTTCATTACATACGCACCAATATGACTGCTCGCAGCCGCTACACTGGCAACAGAAATTCGTTAAATAATCACTGAAAACCTAGGAAAGTATAAAACAGCACACAAGCACAGGATTCCAAGAAATATGAACCCACTCAGTTCACAGGAAAACAATTTTAGAGAACCGTAAAATAGTTTTAAACGATAATCGCCAGTGTCAATTTCTCCAGCCTTTTCATGTGTCATCCTTTCCTGAAGCTGGAGATATTAAGGCGCTGTAAAATCTGAAACAGAAATAATAAAACCTGTTTTAAAATGTTATACTATGTCTTTAACTCTTCATGAGAATTCTTGGAAATATATTTATCATTATTTCCCTTGTTGCTCTTAGAACACAAATTTGTTTTCAAACCGCAAACATTTATCGGTTATAAACTGTAATACTGGGTTTTCAAATCCTGACAAGTTTTCGTCAGTCTCTCTAAAATGAAATAAACAGTTCTGCAGGGAACCTCGCTAGAGAAGGCAAGGCTTTTAGGAGGAAGGTGTCAGAGCTTCATCCCTACCAGTAATTGCATACGTACAACAACTGTTCCACACAAACTGTGTTTGCATATACTATACAACTTCTCAGCATTTTATATTTGCCAATGGTTTACTGATGTGTAAACGGAAAGAGTCTTACCTGTTGCGATGTTGAATTATCCTTCCGAATTACTTAATAAACCTGAATATAGACTACAAACAGTTGGACCGATTATGTGAGAAATGAAGAAGTGTTAATTGAGTCAGTGAGCAGAGGAATATCCTACACGAAATAAGAAAACGGAAGGCTAATTGGATTGGTCATGTTTTACGCAGAAACTGCCTTCTAAAAGAAGTTATTGAAGGAAAGATAGAGGGGCGGATAGAAGTGACAAGAAGACGAGGAAGAAAACGTAAGAAGATGCTGGATGACCTTGGGGACGGAAGAGGATACTGTCATTTGAAGGAGAAAGCTCTAGATCGCATTAAATGGAGGAATTGTTTTGGAAGAGACTGTGGACCTGTCGTCTTGACAGATTACTGATGATGATGATAGGCTACAAAGCTGGTCACGGTAGCCGAGCGTTCTAAGGCATGAACTGTCTTCGCTCGTTCGGAAGTCGGGATCGTGGGTTCGAATCCCACACAAGGCACGGATGTTTGCTGTGTGTATTCGTTTATTCTGTGTTTAGGTAGCGGTCTTGCGGTGAGCTGATCACTCATCCAAGGAGTCCTACCGTCTGTAAAATGATCATGAAACTGAGAAATCAGCCCTATGCTGCAAAGTGGGAGCGAGAGGACAGGAAAATAGGCTACAAAACAATCCTGAAAATGCATGCACACATAATTCACCTATTTCCGTAACATTAGCGTACAGGCATTATTAGCTCATTATTATGAGATATAGCCATGTCCAGAATGCCGACCATCAGATGTTAACAAGGCCACGCTAATGGAATGACTCACTTGAGGGAACATGCTGTTAGTCACATAACCACACAAGCCTCAGCATCTTCTAGCATACTTATTGTTCCTGAGCGTGTCCATACGTAAGAGTGCAGGAGATCGGGGCTGTTCCGTATCTCCACATGCTTTGTCAATGTCCAATGGGGACACACATTTCTAGAGACATTATGTTTATCACAGAGCACTGAATGGTGCTAGTATTTTTCCCACTGTATCAACTCGCACTGCTGCCATGTTTCAATAGTTACTGACGAAAGCAAATCCCTTGTGCTTAATTAAGCACCACCCATAAACACGTATGGCTGAGTGATTATATAGCTATAAAAGCAAAACAGTAAAAGCAAACGTCACCCTGTAACGGGCAGTGGAGGCCCATAGGGTTGTGAGGTTGAGGTTCCCACATTTTCCGGACAGTCGGCTCATAGATGGCGACAAGGTTGTCAGCCTTACGCACCGACCGACCTTTACCCCCCAAAAATATTCCTGGTGCTCATTTCTGTTAGAGGGTGAGTCGACTCCAGCCATAGTGCGGCTGGAAGGGTTGGGTCAATTGATAAAATACACCTCATCGGGATTCGATCCCGCGACCTTCCGGCTTGTAGCATAGTGCCTCAACTAACTACGCTACCGCGTGAGTATATAGTTATACGGATCTTTATTTCGGCAATGGATGAGAGTGGTCATCTTCAAAACCTGGTCACTTTACGCATGGGTAAAGACCCCTCGTTACCCAGTGAATATGATTCTCTGTGGGCCTCAGAACTAAAGGAAAAATCTCTTATTCCTGCAGGAATAGAACCCGTGTTCTTTACTTTCAATCCATGAACATAACGGTCCATACAGTTAATGACATGGGTTTAAAATGCATGATAGGGTGTTCAGTAATTTTATGTAACTTCTGATGAAGAGTTTTGGGGGAACGTAAGTTTCGGGTTGAGCCCTCTTCATGTTTACGTCTAGCAGCATAGACAATTGAAAGTCTTCTGCCTTCTGTTCAGGGCTTCAAATATAAATCTAACGCATAAGCAAAATGTAAAATTATACACATTTTATTGAGTGTATGCACTTTTTTCAGACAGTACCGAAGCTGCCAGATTAAATGAGCAGATTCAAGCAATGTTGGCTCAGTTCACACCGGCCACCCCCCCATCATGCTTTAACTGCTCCAAACCAGCCAACTTATATCACATTCCTTTCCGGATTTCGCACCAAATTTCTCCGCCTCCCGAGCTCTATCTGTATCACAGGCAAAAATGCAAACTGGGGACTCTTATCAAACAATTCTAATGCAATATTTTCTTGCCACACGACCTGCAGAATCCGCAATAAATGTATATGTTCAATAAGTACTGGCTCGTGACATAACTCATATACACGTTTATTTCTGTTCATGTAGGTATCATTTTAATTCTTGTATTGGGAATGAAATACAGTATTTGAAGTAAAAATTGTTATTATGACTTCAAGGAAGTGCAATTTATATATACAGCTTGGCTCGAATTTAATCTAAATTCATTTCTTAAAGAAACAACTCATCCAACTAAATATCTGCAAATGACATACAATTTCAGAAATATATTTTGACGATTTTGACTATAATGATTATGGATTTAACGAAATACACTGCGTCATCTGAGCAGTAATGTAACTGTACCTGTAAGCGGCCTCCGTAGTCTAGGGGTAACGTGGGTCCCGTGTCGTAGCTTTACGGCACGTAAAAGGACCTCATGTCCCAAGGGGACCACTGAGCCAAATTCAGGACATTTCCNACTACTGTGTCAACATTTGTTCTTATTGGTTGTTGGTGGTATCGCTACATGTTTCGACCATTTTCTTGGGTCATCTTCAGCCGTATACGAATATTATTTATCTTCTGAATTGCGTCATTAATCAATATGAATTCATATTGTGTCTGTACGATTATTCTACACCGACAATTATATCTGAATTTAATTTTTTAACAAAGATCATATTTAAAATACATGTATTGCAGCTGCTCGAACAAACTGCTAAACAAGAGAACGGCTGTATGGATAATATGGCGTTCATACGAAGGCTCACTCTTAGTTGCATGTAAAACATGAGGGCATTCTTCGAAGACGTGCAAGAACCGCTGGTGTTCCAAACCTTCTATGCCATGCTTGTTTTTAAACATACATTCAGTGCTCACATTAGGAAATAACATATGCAGCTCGAAGTCTTAATTTATTTTTGTTATTCCCCCTCCTTCCACGTTCCTCTTTACTCTCGTACTAATGGGTGGAAAGCACTGAAGGACATCAGCCGTCCTCGTGTTTGTCGGCGTGGTGTGTTATTACACACGTAGTAATTACTTTATCTCGCTCCTGGTCGTATGAGAAGATATCCACTGACTCGTGTCCATGGTGGATATCCCGTCAGCCCCCAGAGTCACTGTTACATGCATTACTGGGGACCTAAACCTCGAATTTATAGATAATAGAAGTCTTATACAGAATGTAAACATTTCAAGCACTTTCAGCTCAGGAACTAAAACAGATATGAAGTTAGTATTTTCACTGTAATAGTAATGACACAATTTCTTTATTAAAACCGTCACAACACAACTATATTAATATTTCTTTATTAAAACCATCACAACACAATTATATTAATATTTCTTTATTAAAACCATCACAACAAAAATATATTGATATGAAGTTAGTATTTTCACTGTAATCGTAATGACACAATTTCTTTATTAAAAACGTTACAACACAATTATATTAATATTTCTTTATTAAAACCATCACAACAAAAATATATTGATATGAAGTTAGTATTTTCACTGTAATCGTAATGACACAATTTCTTTATTAAAAACGTTACAACACAATTATATTAATATTTCTTTATTAAAACCGTCACAACACAACTATATTAATATTTCTTTATTAAAACCATCACAACACAACTATATTGATATGAAGTTAGTATTTTCACTGTAATCGTAATGACACAATTTCTTTATTAAAAACGTTACAACACAATTATATTAATATTTCTTTATTAAAACCGTCACAACACAACTATATTAATATAGTTGTGTTGTGACGGTTTTAATAAAGAAATTGTATATTATAACACAACAGGATGCATGAAATGAAAATCGTAATGACACAAGCTGCTCACGCATCCCAGCTGTAGTTAAGGGACTGCAGCTTCACTACGTGTTCTGAGCAGTCAGTAAAATGTCTACCGTGAAACTCTAGCATTCCTTTTGGTAAACTCTGTGTACGAACACTTTAAATAAGGAATTTATTCTCAATAATATACAAAAATTTAGTTCGTACCTCACAGGAAAAGCATTACAAGGTGTGTCCCAAAAGTCATGAAATATATTTCTTTCCCNCTACTGGTCGGAGCGCGCTGGAAGCGGTTGGGTTGGGGCGGGGGGTGGCCTTTAGCTTCACAGCGCGCCCAAGGTCAGTCTGCTCGAGCATCGGAGGCGTCAGTATCGCTGATTTAGTGCACCTGTGAAAAAAATGTGTAGAAGCTCATGGACAGTACTTTGAAGAATATTAACACTTTGTACCGATATCATCAATAATTAAAAAAAAAAAAGAATATATATATATATTTCATGACTTTTGGGACACACCTTGTACATCAGTCACAAATACCTAGCAGTGGACGCTGTTTAGGGAACTCCCACGCAGTGGCGGGTCAGAGCTCCACCGTATCCCTGTGAGTAGGAGGCGACGAAAAGAGAACGCAGTGTCTGAGGGGTATAACTGGGTCGCCCTGTTCCTGGGCGATATAAATACGGGGACCT